TGACAGCTTTACTGTTCAATTCTTCCTTATAGATTTTGAATAAAAATAAATTGGAGTCTTTTAAAAGAACAAACCGCAGAAAAGCTTGTGTAAGCAGAAGCGTGTGGTCTGTGAAGCGTGGCAGGCAGCACGGTGCTCGCCCCGGTGAATGAGGGCCCCAAGGGCCAGTGCAAAGGGATGGGGTGCAAAGCGAAAGCCTCTTCCCAGACTTTGCTCATTTTTCCTAGAGGTGCTCTTCCTGGTTGGAGGCCTTTCTGGAGGCTATGAGAGAGGGGCTTTTCCTGAGGGATGGAGTTGGTGGCAGATAACTCTGTTGTGACGGTTCCCAGAGCCACTACCATCTTTGTGGGATCCCTTCCCAGAGGGAGGGTTCACCTGGGCTAGAGCGGAGCCGCTGTGATGAGGGCAGCTCGTGACCAGGAGGAGCTGCCGGCTCAGGGGGGTGTCTGCAGCTTCTGTGACCCGYGGGCCTGTCCCTGCTCCCCAGGCCGCGTGTGCCGGCCCCTGCTCCTCAGCACCGTCCATCTCCACGGGCTGCCCAGCCCGTGGGTGCTGGCAGAGGCCGCTGTGCCAAGCTAGGGCCACCAGCCAGTGTCGGAGCAGGTCCCGGCATGCAGGCTGATGGTGAGGGAAGGACTCGGGGTGCCCCCGGCAGCTGCTTCCTGGCAGACCGCTCCTGCGGGATGGACTGCACGGCGTGGGGATGACGAAGGCTGCACGGCGTGGTGATGATGAGGGCTACACGGCGCGGTGATGATGAGGGCTACACGGTGTGGTGATGACGAGGGCTGCATGGCACAGTGATGACAAGGGCTGCACAGCGTGGTGATGACGAGGGCTGCACGGTGTGGTGATGACGAGGGCTGCACGGCGCGGTGATGACGAGGGCTGCACAGCGCGGGGATGACGAGGNGATGACGAGGGCTGCACGGTGTGGTGATGACGAGGGCTGCACGGCGCGGTGATGACGAGGGCTGCACAGCGCGGGGATGACGAGGATGGGGCTCGATGGGCCATGCGGCACCCTGCTCCCTGCGCACGCCTGGCACCGTTGGGGCCTGGGTGAGAACGGCTGCTCCATCACCTTGGGGACTCGTTTGGAGAAGAACCTCTGAGGCTGAAAGGCTGCTCTGCCCATTGGCACTGGGAGCTGGGCCTTCCCAGCCACGAGCACCTGCCAGGCTCCGGAGTCCACAGCTGGAAGGATGAGGTTTCTCCTGGGTTTTTCCCTGCTTCCCAAGGGCCTTTCTTAGATTGGCAGGACAGAACCAGGCCATTCTTGGTCCCTTGCAGCTTTTAGCTTTGCTCCCAGGGATCAGTGTGTGCTAGGCACTCTGTTCCTCAGCTGGAGTTTGCTAATGATGGTACAAGTATTCTGGATTCTTTGGAGGAATTTGCTTGCAAAGATCCTAGGATACAGGAGCAAATGTCTGGAAGGAAAATGGCTTTCATCATTTAAGATAAAGAACATCATAAGGCCTTGGAGACATCACTTCATTCAGGAATTAAATTACAGGAGTCATCTGGTGTCAAATAAGTTTCATTTAATAGGTCACTCACTTAGATAAAGTTTCTGTAGAAATCAATATCTCTTTCTCATGCAATTGACAGCTGAAGACATTGAAAATGGCATTTTTTTACACAAGGTTTATTTAATTTTAGTGGGAAGAATCTCTCCCATGCTCTCTGCTTGGTCTGGTACAAGGTTAACAGTCTTCCGAGGTGGAAACCTTCCCTGTCCTTTTTCACAGGGATAATTTAAGGTCACCTTGGCACAGGCTTGACAATGCAGTCAGGATGCCATTGGCACAGGGCTATGTCACAGGCATGTTCACAGCTTGCTGTAGTAGTGGGTGTCGCTGCCTTCTCTCCTGCACCTGAGTTCAGCAGGGCAAAGAGCCTCATTATGTGCAACAGCAGCAGGAGGTTTTCTGCGAGGGCAGACCCCAGGGTGCTGTGAAGATGGGAGAATGCGGGCGGGATGCTGCTGTGTCGGGGCTACATGTGTGTTGTGATTGCAGACCCCTTAGGAACATGGAGTGCCTTTGCTCAGTGCATTCTTTCACTCTGATAGTGCCCCATGGAGAAAGGAGGAGACTTTCTGCACCATCTCCCAGGAGAACTGAGTAGGAAGGAGAGCTTCTATTATTCCTACAATAGCAAAATAATTGTTTCTGAATACTTGCTGTTCCCTCCACTTGCTTTTCAGTCTTAAGCAATTTCTAATATTGACATGGCATCTCTAGTCACATTTGTCTTGTTGTGTGGCATGACTGATACAATTACATCTGACATTGTCACAACATTTTGCACAAATGACTGCAGTTGTGGGCTAGCAAATGACCCCTGAGATGAGCATCAGGAGACAACAGTAGCCTTAACTTCCTCCACAGGAAAGAGTTGATGGTTCTCAGAGTAGCATATAGCCGGTGTCAAGGTTTCAAGCAAACGCTTTTCTGTTGGCTGTGTTCAAGAAGCAGTGTTCCTGCTCCGTTCTTGTCCAGCCTTCACAGGGGCTTTTCCCTTTCAGCATTCTTCACGTCCTTGGACTGTATTTCCTTGCCAAGGTATTGCCTTGGACTGATGGAAGGAGCTACTCTGCTGGCTGTAGACATCTGAGCTTGGTAAGAGTGGAGAATGCATGAAGTAAAAGGGGCCCCGTTGCCCCCTCTACGTCTCTTGCTACAAGCAGCAGCAGCCACTGTGAAATACGGAGGTGTAGAGGATGGGCCCAGAAAGCTCAAAGACAGGCTCGTCAGGAATGCAAATCCTAGCAAAAACAAGGAGAGCTCTTTTTGCAGGGGATGGCAGGTTGTAGGGAGCCTGGAAATGCCCCTCTTAAAGCAGGTGGCAACATCAGGATGCTGTGTGTGGGACATGCTGTGCATAGGGAGGCAAGGTAAGCAGTGCAGGAGCGAAGGCCTTGCCGGAGCGTGGTGGGTGGATGCTGGGAGGCAGGGGCAGCTCCAGCCTCTCATCCGTGAGCAGCACGAGACCCTGGTGACATACTGGTCATTCTAAATCTCTGCTCTGAGAATATAAGATGGCACTTCCAGGATATATGTGGAGCAACTTGCTGCGACTAACCCAGAGCCCATGGTAGTTCCCTACTCCCTGCCAGACAGACAGAATTAGATGCTATTTAAAACCATCCAAGCTTTTAATGACCCCTCTCAGACACAAACTGACCATCTAACTCTGCACGATTCACTGAGATTCCATTTTACTCAAGGAAATAAAAATAATAGTTTAAACCATTTCAAATATAGCAGTAAATCCCTAACAACATTAACCTTTTCCGAAGCATTAAACTGATCCCTGGTGGATTCTCAAAGTTGCTATTAGGAGGAGGCATGAAATACTCTCTCCTGAACTTCATGTTCCCAAAGTAAATAACCAGCCACCAAGTGTGGGGTTTATTGGCTTTGTGACTGGTGCCTGGCTGTCTCCTTACCCTATTCTGAATCATCAAGCATTAGCACTTTTTGCATTAGGAAGGCAAAAGTTCATGCACAAAATCAGACATGTGAGGAAAGAGACTAGGGTGATGTCTAGGTTCAAAGAGGGAACAGCAGAAACCTCAGAGAACATGGGAATAAAGAGAGCTGCCTGGCTTGATGGGCTGTGCAGCTTTGTGCAGAAAGGTCTGAGCCTCTGGGGTTGGGTTGTCAGGACCTGGCTGAGGACAGCAGGAGTGGGAAGGGTTCAGGCTTCTGGCGTCCAGCTCATGCAGCACAAGGTCAGACCCAGTACTTCATTTTGAGAGGAGACGGGGACTGCTGACCTGTCCCACGTCATGGAGGATGGCCCCATAAAGGGAAAGTGGCTTAAAGGAAATGTCATTTACATAGTGACACTGGAGTCCTGCCCACATGGGAGAAAACAAAATAAAACAAGAACAAACAAACAAAACCAAATTAGGGCCTTTTTACTCAGAATATGTTTTTGGCCACGTACATCTATCTGGAGCAGTTCTGCAAAATGAACACTGTCATTAAAAATGCTGGGAAGAATGGGGAGAATGTAAACATATATGTGAATAATACCTAGAGATGTTTGCAGGTACCCCTGCTTTAGCATATATCTCAAATGGTTCATGATTTCACGATCAGGAAGAAGCCATCTGCAGTTAAAAAGCCTCTTGATCTAGGGAGAGAATATGAAAGAAGCAATTAAAGCATAAAAAGATATAAATAAGTGTCTTAATGGGAAATTAGGAAGCTTTTTGGCCATTAATCTGAAAGAAAACACTGGTATCAATGAATAATCTTTGCAATAGGATTAGAAAGAAAGTATTCCTTAAATATATGAGGACCAGATGAAATAGTAGCCAGGAACACATTGAGGATTGGGTCTTGATTTGCAGTCATCATATACGAAAGGCTGGACTATCTGACAAATACTCCTGTTCTGYGCTTGAAAGTAGGAGAGGTGAGCTATTTGCATCCTAGACTACATATGGAATACTTCATTCTACTGGAAACCAGAGAGGTTGATAAACTGGGGCTTGTAAATGCTTACATCTGCAAGGCAGCTGTCACAAAAGAGTTGAGTCATTAACGTTGTTTTTTTTAATAAAATGTGGAGTACTGGAGAAGTTGGAGAGGCCAGTAATAGGGAATCAGTTACCAGCATATAGGAATGGTAAAGAGGGAGCCAGGAGCCATGGGCTGCTGTGTTGACAGTGCTCCTGTTACCCAGGGAAAGGACAGAAGCTGCCTCCTCACAGTGGTGAGTCCCAGGGCGCCTCTTTTCTTGCCTGCCSCATGTGAGCAAGCTGGATGCCAAGGGGCTCTGCATTCATCTCCCCTGGAGCTGAGGAARTCCTCTCCCTGCAGCACAAGGCCCCACAGAGGGGACAGGTGAGTAGGAGCTGGTTGGGTTATAAGGAGCAGCTGATGCTTGTTGGGAAGTTTGTGCCAGGTGGGCAGTATGGGGCAGAGCTCCCTGGCGGTGCCCTCAGTGGGGGAAGGATGTGGGGGTGCTGCTGGCTGGAGCAAGGGGGAACAGGCGCCAGCAGGGCCCGGACTGTGGGTGGGAGTCTGGAAGCAGAGCACAGAGGAGCCTGTGGAGCACTGCAGCAAGGGCCCTGTATGCTCTGTGAAGAAGACAAAGAGGTAAGAAAAACTTTCCTGCCGTGAGGAGGGTTAAAACCTTAAAACCTTTGAAATGGCTTTTTTTTTCTTCCCCCTCTTTTCTCTAGTTGCAGAAACTTGTTCTGGGCAAACAGCCCACAGACCAGGTAGCTCAGTGGCATCCCAGCCGTGGTGGTGGAAATAAGAGCTATCACAGCTCATCCGTGCCTGGTGCTGCCATGAAGATGCTTGGTGTCCCTGCTAGCAGTAGGTGGTCTTTAGAGAAGTTGTAGGTGCTGGCTGACACTGGATTGTAGGTGAAAAAGCAAACTCAGTCTCCTCTGATGTGGCTCAGCTCCGTTTCTGCTTTTGTGCCTCCCCATGGAGCCTCCCTCTGAGCCACAAACCTGAGGAGATGGAGCTGCTTTTTTCTGTTGTCCTTTAGTCACTGCTGCACCTGCCCTGCTGCTCTGCTTATTTCTGAGTAGCCAGTGCTGATCCCCTTCACAGTGTGCTGGGACAGCAGCTGCAGCTGTTTAGCCATGGGGCAGATTGCTTTCTGGGCTGCTTAAGTGTCATTAAATGCCATTGAGTCCTAAGAAAGGATAGGTTCGCATTCTGTCTATTATACCCAATGTCTCTAACTTCTGTGAGCAGTGGTACTGATTCCCTGGGCCGTGCTGACAATGGCACATGTGGACAGCAGCTGGTAGGAGGAACTTCCTAACCTCTCTGTTCTGGGGCTTCTGAGGGTGCTGTGTCATTTRTGGGTTCCCAGCAGATGTAATCTGATGATAATAAAGGGCTGTGGGTTGCACTTGCTCACTGGTGTGGCTGGGGTCTGTCAGTGTGAGGCAAGTTGGAGGGGTGGGTAGGATGGCACTGGGACTGGGCCCTGCCACTGACAGTGACATTCTGCCATAAAGGGCTGATAATGTGTTAATAACATTTAATACCTTTTTCTTTTTTTAGTAGTGCCCCCCCCACTCCCCACTGTTTTACCACAGCCGACAATTACCAAGCTTGTTAGAGCGTTCACCCCAGGCATGTCAAATATGTGATTACATTTGAAGTTAACTGGCTTGCAACAGAGCCCAGTTTAACAAAAGCCTCAGCTCTGAGGGATGTGACAATCAAAATTGGTACCATCTCCTTTTTCTTGGTAAGGAGTAGAAAGCTCCTTTGTCTTTTGAGAAGATATCACAATTGGAAGGGTTTATTTTAACTTATACAATGCATAACTAAGATAAGACTTTGTTTCCCATCTTTTCATTTCAATAGAGCTTTCAACAGGGCAAAGATGATTTTTATTTGAGCATATCTGTGAGATTAGCCTAAACCAATGGACTGGGCTGCAGTTTGCCCTTCTGATAAATAAGGATAAACATGACTGGTATTGAGCAGGAAGCTCTAGCAGGAAACAGCGTTATAGAAGAATGTCATTTTTTACTGCTGCTTTTCTCTGCCAAATTAAAAAGAAGTCTCTGCAAGGCACAATGGGAAGAAAATACTAAAGGAGAGGTTTTATTAAGAATCAGAGGTAATAGTCCTGTGGAGAGAGTCTGCTGGTGTTTTGCAAAGTATTATGATGCTAGATGTTAGCATTCAGTGATCCTAAGTAGGCATTTGTATGCGTTGTATGAGGACTGGTGTGTTATTTAAACATGCTCGCCTCAGAGCGCCTGTGTTCTGTAATGCTCTCAGTAAGCACATCTTATGAGGAGTTTCTTCCAAAGGAGAGCATTTGCCTCCCAGTGCTCCCATAGGAGAGGGGACGGACTTAATTAAAACATGATTTTTCAGGGAAGTGAGTGGATTGGTGCATTGTCACTTGAGTATAGGCTCTGGGTCCTGGTCTGTGCGAAGTAGGAGTAGTAGGCTGGTACTCTGGAGACGGTTTTTCACATGTGTCCTAGTCAACAAAACATTTACAGTTGGCCAGAATAGCCTCTTAATTTGATTTGACATTTATGATTTCCCTTGCATTTCTTAGAGRGGCATCCCTTCTTGCTGCATTTAACCAACTGCTGTCCATGCAGACCCTGTGCTGTGCCCGCAGTTGGCTGCGATGCTGTGGTCCTGCCCGTGGCTGCCCTGGCACTTGGCTTCTGCATTGCTGCCGGCTGCCTGGGCTGAGGGGGAGCCGGCTCTGCGGGCCCTCCCGGTGTCCCTCGGCCTGTGCCCCTCGGCACAGGCCCTCCCGGTGCCCCTCGGCACAGCCCGGCAGCAGCAGCCCCTGCCGGGAGGCTCTGCCTGGAGCTGCCCAAGGCAGCAGCCAGCAAGGGGAGAGGGGGTCGAGGGAGGGCTGGCCCTGTGCAGGTGATGCCTGTGGGCGAGGGGAAGCCATGGGAGGGCTGACTCCACACGTGGCACCTCCTCAAGGTGCCCATGGGCTAGGGGAGGCCATGGGAGGGCTGACCCCACACATGGCATGTCCTCACAGTGCCCATGGGTTAGGGGAGGCCATGGGAAGGCCAGTCCTGTGCATGGCACCTCCTCGCAGTGGTGCCCATGGGCTATGGAGGCGCTGGCCTGGGCTGCCCGGAGCCCCATGCAGATGCTCGGGTGTTCGCCTGTGCTCCATACCTGGCACTGTCTCCAACTGCTCTTTAGTGCTGTCACTTAAACCACCTTCTGTAAACGTGAGGGTTGTATTGAGGCCTGTTGCCTCAGGGAGGGCTTCTCTTCGGTTACACCATTGGTGTTGCCAAGATGGATTAAAGCAGAAGTTGCAGCTCCATTGCTGCGAGGAGATCTGTGGGGAGAAGGGGTTCACGTTGTGCCGCTGCCTTTCAAAGCGTTGAGAGCTGTCCCTGAAGGCATGGGGCACCCAGACTGTCTGGAGAGGTAGAGAAATTCCTGAGGGACCTGAGACTGCCCAGACTGAAGCGATGATAGGACAGAGAGTTAGACAACRTTTGCCATGTACAGACAAGAGACCAGTTGTGCTGCCAACGTGGATTAAGCTGTGTTAAGGCTGGAGAGAAGATGGRAAGAAGGGTAACTGGTGGATCCGGGTCAGGGAGGGTACTGGGATAGGTCAGTCTCTTTGTTCCCTAGAGCATGGGTTTGCCAAGCACGAGCCCTCACAGACCCCTGGCCGCAGACAGTGTGGGCCGCTCTGCCTGGGCGTCGCAGGGGCCGTTTGGTGGGTCAACTAAACCTGGAGCAGGACCTGCGAAACAAGGACCCTGTCTCCTGCCCTGACATGCATGCATAGGGGACACAKGCCTCAGTTTACTTATAAGGTGCATTCCTGCTTTGTAGTGCAGATTTRTTTTTCTCTGTGGAGCCAATCTAATGCAGACCATGTTTGGAGGGCTGTGACAGAGGTCCTGTACTACTCCAGCCTGCTCCCACTGTTCCTTAATGAAGTGAGTTCAGAGGTTTGAGTCAAAGAAAAGAGGCAGATGAGTCTTTTGTAAATGGTAACATTTAAAATTCCTGCTGCTTTGAACCTGGAGGCTGAGCAGATGCTGCATGTCGCAGCCATTGCCCTCCTGAGATCATGAGTATTAATTCATTTCTGTTTATGTCATCTGTTCCCTGTGTGCTGGTGCCACACTGTAAAGTGTACTCAGCTCCCAAGGTGCCTATGGAGCAAATGAGTTCATGTCTCTGCTCCAGCTTACAGTTTTACATGTTGGGCAGCACTGTGTGTGGCCAGGTTGCACCGCCCTGACTGGTCATCTAACCATGTTCTCGCACTTCCTGCAGCGTAGTTTGAAGGGGTGATGATTACAGAAGTTGGCAACAATTTTTCAGAGCCATTTGGGAGGCTATCAAAGCTATCAATGGCCATCAAGAGCCATTTGGGAGGCTAAACCACGTTGCTTTGTGATGAAACCAATGACCTGTGCAGTGGTAGTTCCCGGAAGCCATTTGAATGGGAAGCAGGTCCAGTGCTCTGAGGACTTGCATGTGTTTGTGCTGGAGCTGCAGTTGGGGCTGCCACAACTGGATCCTAAGGGAAAGTCCAAGTGGGATCTGCCTTTTTGCTGAGGGACAGCCAACAGCTTGAAAGGGGGAAGAAACCCTGGGGAGCCAGCAGGAAAGGAAGCTCTCAGGTAGTCTGCAGGGGCGGAGGTCTGGACAGCTGAGGACTGGGGCAATAATTTGTACAAAGAGGTGGTTCGACTCTAGTTGAACCACTAGAGTGGTTCAACTCTAGTTGAACTCATGTTTGGCTTGGAGATAGGTGTGAATGTGGTACCCGAGAGCTCCTCGTCCAGAGTCGTGTTCAGCGTTGGGTGCAGAGGAGAGCTGGAGAGCCTCGTGGGCTTGCCCTAGCTAATCCTTGGAACAAGTTTAAATGATGTCAGGGCACAACAGGCTCGTAAATCTGCTCCAGAACAGGTCCGTGCACTTTTTGCATTCAATAGACCAAGTGTTGCTCCCAAGCACAAGACTGCATCTGCAATGCCAGACTTCTTGATTTGGGGTAAGAGAAGAGAGCTGTGTGCTGAATGTACTTCCTTTCCAGAACAGTTTAACAATATAGCTTACTAAATGTCTTATGCYTCTTGTTTGGTCATATTTTCCCCTAGATAACAGTATATTTTCGTTATGAATATACTGGGGTGAAATGGTAGTATTTGATGCAGTGAATTCATCCAGCCACCCACAGTCCAGGCCTGGGCGTGGTGTTTAACATGCTGCTGCTGTGCAGACACATCCTTTAAGCATCAGTTAGAAAGATGTGGATCGGGTTTTTTCCTTCAAAAAATGACATTTTGAAGTAGGTTAAATCTCCCACTTTTTCACATTTTCTCAGAGAGAGATTTCGTCTGTCTGGTGTACGTGCTTTCCATGGGAAATTATTTATGAACTCCCGAGTCCCTGGTCTACTGTTCTTGATGTAATAGTAGTAGATCTGGAGGAATGACCAAGGTTAGCTTTATAGTCTTGGTTCAGATGTTATTCAGTGCCGAGTTATTCAGTGCTTCATTTTGCTAACACCTAGAACCAAGAACAATTTAGCTCAGCAGAGTCCTTCAGATTATAGCAATACACAGTTTTACCAATAAGACATGCACCTGCTGCTTCAATCCCAGAAGAAATCAGTGTGCTTCGTTTCAGAGTTGCTAATTCTCTGCTCTCCCTCCTTTCGCTCTTTTTGTGAAGAAATTATTTTTGAGGGCACACAAACTTGTGTCTTTTAGCTAGCAGATCCTGTTCAATTATGAACAGACAGACCAGCTCTTCAGAGGGCATGATCATCAGGATTTAAGTAATCCGTACATACTAATGGGATAGGGCTTATTCTCTGCTTGGGACCCCTCCATAATTGGTCTAGGCTCCTGCAGTCCTAGCGGAAGACGCAAGCTGTGGCCGTGTCATTGTTGTCTTTGGGCAAATGCAAATCTGTAGCTCAGCTCCTTGCTCGCAGCCAGTTATCCACCCTGGCACTTGTATAATTATAATACATGCTTTATTGCTTGTCAATATTTTAACCTTTCTGACATATTATCCCCTAGGGCAACTGAGCAACCTCAATAATATAGCTGATAATTATCCTCCACATGAATAAAGTTATCACTARGGTCCTTTATAAATCACATAGAAAAGATGACAGATTTCACTGGCTGGTCATCACAAAAATGAGAAGAGGCACAGATTGTGACAGCTTAATGGGGAAGGTAATAAAACCAACAATAAAGTCATTTATAATATAAGCAATGATTCTCAGGCCTTCTATTTGTTTTCATGCTAATAGAAGATAAATGTCAGATTAGGAACAAGACCTGAAATTTCTATTAAAAATATTTGGAAAATGTCATTAAATATCAGCAATCCACTGCTCAAGAAGTGGCAGTATGGGTCTTAATTACCTGTGTGAGGTACTTGGAAGCAAAGTGGGGATAATAGTATTTGCTGCGCTGTCTCCTGGGTGGCTGAAAGGAGAAGTGTTTCTGCAATGGCAAGTGCATCGGCTCCTCATGCTTGTGGTCCCTTCGGGGTACTGCTGCTCCTGCCTTCTGGAAGGAGCAAGATGCTCTTGGGTGCCTTGACAGGATGAAGCCTTCTAGTACTGGAGGGGAGCTGGACAGAGACCCTCTCATGGACCCCAGACTGGGAGCACTGTGCCTGTTTTAAGGGGCTGCACATTTCGCAAAGAACCTGATCTGTTATTAAGAACTAACAAAAGGCTTCAGTGCATTTGTGAAAGAGCACTGCAGCTGTCATGGGGCAGTGGCAAAGGGGAAGATGCATTATCGTGTGTTACTGCTATTGAGATAAAAGATATGCTCCCTGTAAATGCATGGAGGACTGATCTTTGCATTTTTAAATTATATGTAAGCATTGCTAGAGAGTCTCTGGCACTCTTTGTGCCACTGCTGTGAAAATGCATGTCTGCAGGTTTGGGAATAAGAGTCAGCAGACCTAGCAATACAGAGTGAACATAGGCATCTCAGGGAAGCAAGAGCAGAGCGAGAGGATGAAGGGGCCCGTGGAGCAGGAGGTGCCTCCCTGCCTCTCAGGGGAGAGTCCTGGGCAGTGGGTGGGCAGGAGGCCACTGCTGTGGCTGGTGCTGGAGTGGGTCGGGGCYGGCACTGCTGAGCAGAGAGGTGCTGATGCAGCCGGCGTGTAGCCCCCAGGCTGTCCCTGCAGCCGAGCCCGCCTGGCTGGCAACAGCAGCCTGGCCTGGATGCGACCACATGCCGCTTTGGGCAGTTTTGTTGTTTATCTTGGTGCAAGCATTAGTCTGAGGATGTGTTTGGGACTCGGGCAGTGGATGGGGAGGAGGTGGGGAAGGCAGGATGCAGGCACCACGTTTGTGTTTCTGCTTTTCACATTCTTGGAGCGTTCTTCAACTTGCTCTTCTGCTAGGCGTGCACTTTGAGCGCTGAGCCCTGATATCTCTAATCTAGTGAGAGCTTTATTGATCAAATGCCCTGGCATTTGATCCCCTGAGCTGACTAGCATTGCACAAAAGGGGTAAATGGCTGCATATACTTTAAAACAGAATATTTTGAGTGTGCGTAGACATATATGMTGAATACCGAGGCACAGCTGGGATGAGAATGCCAGAACGCAGAGGGATAATTAACATCTGGAGTGTTACAAACCTGCTCCCTGGCCCTGGAGGGACGTGATGCATTCATCATGTTGCTCTCTGGGCTGATGCTACAGGAGTCCGAGGTATTGAATTACAGTCTCTAGAAAACGTTGTTTGGGGAATGTTGAAGAGAACTGGTAAATAATGTGCTGGAAGGTGACAGATATGTTTGCAGCTTCATATAGTGCTTTCCCATAACAGAGCCATGCGGGGCTTTCCCGGTGTTGCTGTGCCTGTCCCCCTTGGAAGGCAACGGGCTCTCTCTGCCAGGTCCTGCTGGGAGAAGCCAGAACCCAGCAGCCAGTGATCCTGCTTAGTCCTGGTGACTTTTTCTTTAAATGATTATTTTATTACTGAGCGCAACACTAACAATAGCAGAAGAATCTCAAGCTTAATGAAACACCATCTGTGATTCAGCTGTTGCAGAAAGCAGCATACAGAGAGCTCCTTACACCAGCTTTGGACACAATCAAGCCTGAAACTCCCTTTCCTGTCCCCATTGTAGGTTGGGGAGGATGCTGTGGGGCTCCTAGCCCAGGGCTGCTCCTCGCATGATCCAGCCAAGACCGGTGATCTCTGTGTGTGCCTGCACCAAGAGAAACATCCCACCACACAAGGGTCAGGGGTGGTGAAGGCAGCCAGCATCTGCTTTGTAAAGTGCTTTCCTTTTTATTCCCTCTCTTTACAGAGAATCATTCAGAAGACTTTGGTCCAGGGGATGCTTCACTGCTAAAAACCTGCCAGCAAGTCATAGCAATGTCCCTCTGAGTCAAGTTCCTGCTTGCCCTGGTGCTGCCTCCCTCCCAAGCGTCCTGCTTAACCTCACAGCTGGTCTCTGCTATGCAGCCAAAGCACACACCAAGGTAAGGAAGAGGGAATAGTAAATTTTCTCTCAAATGCTACTTTCCTCTGACAGTCAGCAGAAAATATGGGCTCGGTTAGACGGGAGCAATGGGGTGGGGATGCTGGCACGTTCAGTTGTTTGGCCACTGCTTGCGCTGTAGGGAGGAGCTCCTGGTGCCCCGTGTTCCTGCGCTTGCAGGCGGTGCAGGACAGTGCGTGGTGCACRCAGGTGCTGGGCTCGTGATGCTCACTTGCAGCACAGCAAGGGGCCAGCTGCTCAACGGGGTGGCGTGCAGAGGTGGTGATGATGCTACAGCTTTCATTCATGTTTTGGCACAGCAAGGTTTAAAAGTGACCTGCTGTGCATGCTGTTTGTGCAGGAAATGACGGGTTGGCCTTTGGGGATAGCAGAGAGGTTTTATTCAGCTGTCAAGGATAGAAAGCTAAAATAACCTTGAATGAAGTAAGTAACTAAACAAAATTGAAGAATCTCTATTCCCTTTCTGCTCCTTGCCACCTCAACTTTCCCTCCTCTTTGTCTGCATTTCTCTCTTTCTCTGCTTGTTTCTTTCCACCTCATTTCCCCTGAAGGGTTTTCAGTTTCTGAGTCAGGTTTCCCTCTAAGGATTCACCCGGGGAGTCTCCYGTATCAGGCGTCAGGAAGGTCGATGTGAAAACTGCAGTTTTCCCCAAGCTTCTTGCTTGAAAGAGCAGAAAGCAATGTGGGGAAGATGAACGTCCTCTTACAGAAAATCTCAGTGCGTCAGGACTTTAGGCGCTTGTCCCTGGAAGCTTCTCTTGACACAGGGCAGAAAAGGGTTTCTGGCAGGCAGCACGTGTCCAGGTATTCCTGGCCTGTGTCCATGCTCTGTGCAGCAGAGATTTTGGGAATGGCAACAGCCAGGGCTGGGTGGGCTTGGCATGGGCAGCTAGAGGCCCTGGCGCTGCTGGAACAGCCGTTCGGGATGCGGACACTGGGAGGGACTGGAYGTCACGGCCTCCCCCGCGCTGCGTMCCTGTGGCCAGGGCTGGGCAACAGCACGTGGCTGTTGTGGGAAARGGYGGCGGTGTTCCTAATGTCTTCTGTGCCTGGTGAGGATGAGCCTCAGTTTCCCTCTCTTGTGCATGGTTTGTAAGGGCCTAAAATCCTGTGGCAGGTTGCCAAGCTTGGTGTGCTTCCATCTGGCCAGGGACCTCGTGGTGGAGATGAGAGGAGGTGGTTTCTTGTTTCTCCTTTGATCCAGTGTTCTGCAGTGCTCGCCATCTACTGCGTGCGGTCCTGTCCTGGGAATGCAGTAGCCCAAGCGCCTGTTCTTCCCTGGAGCTCTGCCCTGAGCGCGGACAGTGTCACACCAGCACCAAAAAGCTGAAACAAGCACATCTCTGTGTGATTCTTTTTGCTCAAGCATGACATTTTGTCACTTCCACATTTGTAGGCGCGTTCCAGCATGACTTGCTGACATTTTCCCCAGTTCCCGGGCTGCTCAGCATCTGCCTGTCACTTCCAGTAGAGCCACGGGCTCTCCAGCTGCTTCTTTTCAGTCAGTTACGTGGGTTCCYGCACTCAGCTCCGTAATGACACTTGGAGTTGCGCCTTTCCATGGCCGATCGTGGCACAGCAGCTGGGCTGCTGCTGCTGGACAGCAATGTCTGCATTCCAGAGGCAGCCGGAGCAAAGGGGAGCCCCCGTCCCGCTTYCCCTGCGGTAGCGCAGGGCTCGGCTAGCAGCTGTTGTGGCTCCAGTCTTGCTCCAGTGAGGTGCTGTGATTACAGGACAGACACAGAGTCACAGAAACCCTGTCAAGTATGAAGTGAAGAACTTGGCTCATAAAAAATGTCACCTAAGCAAACAGACGGAGAGTTATGACTTTCCATTCTCCCCTCCTGAAGCCGAGGGGAAAGTATGTGGTTACAGCACATGACCAAGGAGCTGAAAGTGGCCAAAGAGGAGCATTTTGCTGCCCCCGGGGAGACCCTTTCAGAGTTATTAGTCATAAGTTTCCATTTAATGTACTGATTAGGGCCAAAACTTGTAGACAACCACTGACTGTGCATGTGAATTGACTTAAGGATTATTATGTACGACCATTGTCAGCCCAGCTCCCCAGAAAGATTGATACCTAGAATGAATCTTCTCAAGCTGTTTCTGAAAAGATTCATGACACTGCAGTGAAAGTGGCTTCCAATGGGAACCTCTGTATACTGATGTCAGCATATATTTTATTCTCCTTGACTGCAAGGACTGGTTAGGATATGAGCCTCCCACTGAAATGGACTGCATACAATTGSCAGATAATTAGTTCTTTTTCTTGTAGGCTGCTGAAGTTCTGGTTGACCCTGACTCCCCCAGGAGCAGCGCAGCACCCTGGACTGCACGTTCCCCGTGGCGCCGAGCTCCTTGCTCTCCTGCCGCCAGCTTGGGCAGAGGGGAAGCCCCCTGTGCAGAGGCAGGGGCTCYTGGGCTTGGCTTTGCCCAGAGCCTGCATGACTGCAGTCCATGCGTGCTCCCCCCGTGCCACCCCCGCCAAGCTGCTGGGGGTGATGCCTCAGATGCAGCTGCAGAGACTAAAAAAGGGGCTGCTGGGGGCACTGGTTGTCACAGGTGCTGTGGCCCACTTCTGCTTTTGCTTCAGGGGCCACGTGGCACCTCTCAGCTGTGGCCCATCACAGCTGCTGCCCGGGGCAGAGCACACCTGGGCACCTTCTTCTGCACTGACTGTGTCCAGCAGTGCAAAAGCTCAGGAGGCCTTGGGGAACAGCTCATCTGTGCTGCTCTTATCCCTCTTCTTGACCTTTCTAAGAGGCCTCAACTGACCTGGGAGATCTCCCTGCCTCCCAGCCTGGCAGACACAAAGAAACACAGGCCCCCCAGCTGCCGGCCCCTCGCCTGCGTTTGCCACCTGTGTCACTGCTCCCTTGCCTCCCCGCAGCGGTCAGCATGCAGGCCTGCTGGGGAGCCCGAGGGGGCCGGCAGCCCTGAGCTTAACCTTCCTCCGTGGAAAGACACAGAGCCCCTTGCTCAGTCCCGACCTAGGACAGCAGGATAAATGAGGCTTCTTTGTCCCAGCGCCCCTTGCTCCCTTGGTGCTGCTGCGGAGCCCGCTGGCCCTACTCCCTGGGGACAGATGGGGACACAGCTGCAGGAGTCTGAGCGCTGGGTACTTGCCCGCTTGGCCTTGGCGCTGCTTTGAGAGCTACCCTCCTGTCGCCAGCAGGACAGAGGTAAGATGCAGAGGAACATTTGCTGTTCTCTACAGTTGGGCAGCGGTTTGCAGGTACAGATTATGGGAAATGTTTTGTGAATATTTTTCTTTGGTTTTATTTTTTTCCTCCCAGACCCATAAAATCTTCTAATAAATGCAAATTTAAAACCCAATTATTAATTGGTGTTAAAATGCCAATGCAAACTCTATTAGAATTCCGATTACCAGGACCATGGGCAGTGTTTGCTCTATAAGTCAGAATAAATGTCTTTTCAGGTGAACAGAAGCAGCTTGCTGAATGCCTGATTTTTGACTTGTTGAGTGGCCATATTTATGTCAGCCTTTTGGAAGCCTTTCTTCTGTTACTGCAGCTTGAAAAGATCCAGCTTTAATAGGTTGCAATGAAAATGTAAATGCTATGTWTATTAGCAGTCTGCTAGGTGTGTTTGTTAATTTGACTGTAAATAATTTTCAGATACATGGGCAAGGTATGGTATCTTGCTTGCTAGTGTGATTTTGTTTTTTTAATTGGGCATAAAGCAAGCAAAGGGAATGAAAAGTCCCAGGAGAACCGTGCGAATGAAACCACCTTAGGTTGTAGCACTGCTGCTCTAACTTCTTGCCTGGTGCCTGCCCGATGTCTTGCAGGTTTGATCGCCTCCCGGGTGCCCCATGAGGGCTGGCAGGTTCTCCTGAGGGTTCCCAGCTCTCCAAGGTGCATGGGCAGTAAACAGCAATTTTCCAGCCCTCAAGTCACCTCATCTACACAGTTCTCTTCCCCCCAGTCTTTAGGACCTAACTGCAAATCGCAGCCCTGCCCGCAGGTTTTGCAGTGTGTGGGCAGCATGGCTAGGCAGACTGTGTTGGTGTCACCGCAGCCAGGGACCTGGGCTACATAGGGAGAGCAGTGCTGATTCATACCCTGCAGTTGTTAGGATGCTGTGATTTATACCCCACAGTTGTTAGGATGCTGAGGAGGCTGTTGGGTCCCTGGAGCAGSGGGAGCCGTCCCCAGAGCAGGGTGGATCTGCTGGGTGCTGCGTGCTGGGGGAGCAGCATGAGCGTGGGGGTGCAGCCTTGTGCCTGGGCCCCAGCACCCCCGTGCAGCACCTGCTCTGTAGCTCCGGCCACCCGGTGCCCTGGGCTCACAGGAGCACAGCAGACAGCTTGGCAGCAACTTGCTTCAGGGAAGCATGCAAGAAATTAATGGTTTTTAATGATTCCTATTTTTTTCTAACCAGTTAATTTGCAAGAGTCATAGAAATTAAGCTGAATTAATTGCAGCTGCATGGATAAGGAATATTAAGGACACAACTGTGATGAAGGAAGGGTTTCCTTCCTGGGCCTGGCACAGCCTCACTGCAGACTGGCAGCTGCCTACTGGGCACAGGTCTCTTCCTGCAGAGCTGGGATTTGCTGACATCTGAGGTGATTCGTCATGATTTTTCTGGTGGCTGTGACACRCAGAGCTAGGGCAGCCTCGACAAGTGCTGTGTTTGGAGGAGTTTGGAKGTGTGCCTGTGGTGACCTGCGCTTGGGGCACTGCAGAGCTGCTTTGGCAGGGCCCTGTCCTCCGGGGCTGGCAGCTTGTGCGGGCACCTCCAGCAGCCTCCAGCTGCAGGTGTTGGGGCTGCCGCCTTYGTCCTGCCGGTCTCCAGGTGCGCTGCTCTTCCGTGGCCGTGCGTTGCAGGTGGGTTCCTCAGCTTCACGGTGGGATGGCTGCGGAGTTCCCTGGCTTGGCAAGAGGACAGGATGGCCCAGCAGGAGGGCTGGCACTCGCGGCACAGAACCCAGGCTGTCTGGTACCCTGGTCTGTGCTTCCGCAGGGAGATATCAGCCCTCCTGGGCATCCCTTCCTCATGGAAGTGCCAGCTGAGAGTAACATGCATAGGATGGGTCATGTCATGTGAGTGACTCCTCCGCTTTTGCTTTGCACAGGACCTGAGTCTTTGGTTATTTCCCTCTCCAAATGGTACTGTAGATAGAGAGGACAGGGAGAAACAGACACCCAAACTGATGTAAAACAAGTGTGTTTTGGAGAAGGGCTGACTTGGGCAGGAACTATATAGAAAGGAACATTAAAAAAAGCAACAAGGATCTCTGCTGAGAGGATACAGTGTCCTAGTATCACAACATAACAAGATGTTCGCACTGTATTTTGCAGGTTTATATTTGATACACCATCTGAAACGAAATTGGTCCCTGAAAGGCATCAGTTATTCAGAAGCAATTAAATCTGCTCTAGGAACTTAAAACTTTTGTTAATTGCTGTCCAGACGTTGTCTGTTGCATCATGACATGAAGCCTGTTTGTCTCATGCTCTTCATCCTTCTTATCTGCGATCAAACTGAAAATCTCTCATAGCTGTGGAAAGAAAAAGCCCCAGTACCTTTTCTGCATGGAATCTGTGATTCCTCCAGGCATTTGTAGTTCATACATCAGCAAGAATTAGGATGCCAAATTACACTTTAATTGGTTTGGTCAGGCAGTTTCTATTCCGGGTTTTTTTCATTCTCTGCATAGGCCTCCTCCCTCTCCTTGTCTTTCTTTTACAGAATGTGGAAGCTCAGATGTTGGAATGTCACTTTGAGCATCCCGTCCTGCTTCTGCCTGCTTGTGGATAGCATCCTGGCATGGTCTGCAGGGAGCTGATGTGGTTCCATGTGACAAAAGGAGGATGCTTGTCCCAGCTTCCTTGCTTCTTGAGGAGACTCATTCTTTCTAAAGACAGTTATCCATCAGCCCCAGTTTGCTGAACAGCCAGCCTGTGCTTCACCTTGCCCAGCTTTTGCCAGGTAAAATTTGGGTGTCCATCAGTAATTGCTGGAGAGAGACAAATGTCTCCAAGGCTACTGATCCCATTCCCATGTGCCATCACATTAGGATTACGCAGGCGGGGCTCTTACCTTCTGCATGGGTAGGGATGAGGTAAGATAAGTTGCACACTGGCACTGTGGCCTCTGCATTAGAAGACAAACACTGAAGAACAATCAAGAGAACTCCCACAGAGTGAGAGCTCGGGGAGGGATGAGCTCCTGTTGCTTCGAGGGTGCCACTTCCCAGAGCTCATGTGGAGGTCTTGGTAACCAGAATGGGGAGAAGGGGACAGGGAGGAAGACGCTTCATTGGGAATTTGGAAAGGTTTCAGTGTTCTGTCATTGGTACTTAATTAATAGAGAGTCCATAATCCTAAAATGGAGAGRTGTCCTTTCCTCCAGTCATGTCAAAATAGACTGTTTTAAAGCAAGAATTAATAATGTTCTTTAATATTAAAGGTCACCAAGAAAGTAGTTAAATGCTTTGAACAATGAATCCCCATGGGAGACTAGGAGGAAGGGATTTTGAAACGAGTGGAAGAGCAGAAATGGGATGTTAAGTGCTGCAGGGGATGTCCTTGGCTCATTGTGTGGTCCTGGGAAGGTCTCCTGTGCTGCGGCTCCATGAGCACCTCTCTTGGACACGGGGCTCATGCAGATAGGGCTGTTGCTCTATCGGCTCTGCTCACAGTCCCGTTGCAGGATGGGCTTCACAACCAGGACACTCCAGGCCCATTCCCGCTGCCCGTGGCAGGGGAGGGAAAACCAGCAGCTTGGAGTGGCCGCCTGGCAGGGCTCAGCCATGGAGAGAAGCTGGTGTCTGCAGGACGGGCTGCAGGTGGGTCTGTCTGGGCGGTCTCACAAGTGCATGTGCAGAAATCTGCATCTGGCAGGGAGGAGGCAAAACCTGCAGCAAGAGGCCTCCCAGCATTGTTGGAATGTGCTAAATTTAGTTGTTGAACTGCATCTACCCAAAGCTTTTCTGGGAGAAGGAAGGCAGACAGGAGATTGGGGCTCTGAAAGGCTGGTTCATCTTGTTCATGTTTCCATAGCCTCGTTAATGCTTAGTGCCTGTTACACGGAAAGTATGAAAAACGGTACAAGCTGCTTTGTTGGAGAGCTTATCACTTATCCCYGAGGAAGCACCGCTGAGCCTTGCCTGGTTCCTGGAGCTTCCCCACGGTCACGGGGAGACACTCACTTGACCTCTGCAGCTCGGTGACTTGTCAGCCCTTACAGTGCAGCCACCTGCGTTCCCCCAGCTGGAGGTATCTGTTGTCATGAACTCGGGGTTATACAAGTGCTCCCTAGGGGGAATCGCTGGAAAACAGAGATTTATTCGTGTGGCAATAATTGAGAAGCTCATTTTATTCCAGTAAGGATCTTTCAACCACAATCAATTTCACATGCCATCATAAATAATGGAGGTCAGGGGAGCGCTGCAAGTGCTTCGGCAAGCTCTGTTGACAATGTTAAAATGGCATAAACAGCAGAGAGATGCAGCTCTGCATGAGTGGGTGTACATTAATGCTTGTTTAGAATAGTTTGATTGGCAGAGCTAGTTCTTTTAGGATTTTTTCTGATGGAAAATGCTTCAAATTTCTTCAGTTTTAGTAATTAGGGTGGATTGTCTAATTTCCCGGGTACCTTGTTATATCAGGACAATTCAGCTGCCAGTGTAGTGTGGTGGGAAAGGCAGTATTGCTGCCACTTAGACTACAGAGCCAAGAGTATCTGCCCTCATTTCTCCAGGAGGTTATTACTTCATCCCTGTGGATTTTTCCTTTTTTAAACTTAGGTGCTTTAACTAGACTCATGTGTATTCTGCAAGTGGTCAGCCCTGAGGCAACAGTAAAACCTGCAGAAATCAGTGAACTGCACCAAAATACAATTCCAAAATTTAATTCCAGCTGCCCCTCAGGATTGCCTTTCCAGTTCAGGCATTGCTTGCATTCACTTCTAGAAAAGTGAATTTTGTTTTCAATTTTTCTACCTTAATTTTCCAGGTATTGAATCTGATTAGTTGTTGTTTAGGTATCTCATGTGTTATCCTTGTATGAGAGCTTAGGAACTGTGATCAAGTCTCTTTTTTAATCCCCTTTGATGTGCTAAATCAGGTGATCAGCTTCAGTATTCTGCAGCAAAGCAGGGTTTGCAGATGTGAGATCATTCTTGGAGTTCTTCTTTTGGCCCCCTTTAGATTTTTAAAAATCTGGTCTTACCAAATATCCCATCAACATGTGTAAGTATCTGCAGGGAGGGTGTAAAGAAGACAGAGCCAGACTCTTCTCAGTGGTGCCCAGTAACAGAACAAGAGGCAGCGGGCACAACCTGGAACACAGGAAGGTCCATCTGAACATGAGGAAAAACTGCTTTCCTGTGCAGGTAACAGAGGACGGCAGCAGGGTGTCCAGAGCGCTCGTGGAGTCTCCTTCCTTGGAGATATTCAAAAGGCACCTGGACACGGGCAAGGGCAACGTGTTCTAGGTGGCCCTGATGGAGCTTGGACCAGATCGTTTCCCAGGTGCTCCCCACACCAGGGCTTCCGTGAGGYCGTGGTAGAAATCTCAATGTCTGTTCCCTGGAGGCTTTTCTGTGTCTCTCGACGGGCGGGCAGAACTTTTCCTGCAGGAAGTGTCTCCCTGAAACGCAGCTGGTGCTGCGAGTGCTGAGAGCGCAGGGCAGCCGCGGATGGGTCTCCCTGCTAAGACTTCCTGCTCGTGCGGCCAGTATGTGGAACTCTAGCATGTAAAGCTTGGAAATAATTAAGCAGATTAATTGGTTAATGTTTGTACAGGTCCTGGAAATTTCAAAGCACTATATAATTGCTAAGTAGATTAATTAGTTAATGTTTACACAATGCTTTGTAAATGTAAAGGCAGCTCAGCGGTGCTAACTGTTATTATTAATTGCATTTTTGCTATTTGCAAGATTCATTACAGGCAACAAGAACGCCAAGTGTTTAGTTTTCCAGTTTAGTGGTGTGCATACCAGCACAAAAGCTCCACAGGAGCGAATAATAATACAGGTCTCGGCAAGAGCTTTGGAGAGCAGCACGAGGAGGTGACTTGGCTGTGCCTGTCTTCTGAGGACATTTTTACGTATTTCTTTATGTTGTTCTCCCAAAACAGACGTTTTCTAATTCTGTAGTGTCTTTTCTGACTGGAGGAATGAGCAGGAATTAGTGCCAGGAATTCAGTGTTTGGACTATGACTGGAAAAAACAAGCTAGAGAGGTGGTGTTTGYGCTGCTTATCTGCTGACAAATCATGAAGAGCTGCTGTTGAGCTGCAGCAGCCCGGGCAGGTGGTGGCAGCCGCCTTGCAACAGCACGTGGAGGCCACGGGTCTGACGGGAAATTGGCTGTTGTGGCAAGATGAAAGGAACATTGGAGAGGCTGGTCCAGCCCAAGGTGAATGTGTGATAGTCCAAGGCTGCTTCTGGAGATGTATTTGGGAATGATAGGAGTTTTGACAGACCTGAGCACACAGTGTCCGTGTCGCGCAGCTGGGCGGTGGAACGGGTACCCTGCTGTCCCCAGGCCCGCCGGGCAAGCCGGGCTTGTGCTCTGACTTCCCAGGCTGCAAAGAGAGGGAGACAAGCTCAGTGCCAGTATTGCATGAGCTGCAGGTATTTGACTGGCTGTTCAGTGTGAGCAGCGCACTTAAAGCTTCAAAAACAACACAGGAAACCTGTGCCCTTKCTAGAAATTCCCTGGACAAGCTCAGCTGGAAACCCTGGGGAAATGAAAGGACTTGTGCTGCTCCAGTGTCTGCTAGTGCTTCTGTCTCCTCCAACCTCCTCTCTGTAATGCTCAGACTAATTTTCAGCATCGTGAAATGTTGGGATGATGTGCCCTGGCTCTGGTGTTCGGAGGGGCTGTGCTAGGGCCAGGCATGGGCTGCAGCAGTGGCTGTGACAGCACCGGCCTGGCCGCCCGCTCTCCTGGGCTGCTGCTCATGGTGCTGGTTTTGCTTGTTGCTTGGAAGGCAGCTTGAACTCCTGCTTTTGGGCTCCAGGAGGCTGCCTTTGGCTTGTGTTCTGGGGTGGTTTATTTTGCAGTTTGGCTATTTGAGCATGGAAACTTCCTGTTATTGCCTGGTGCAGTCAGCTATATATTAATGTAAACACATTTGGTACTGGCAGAGAGCCCAACATGAAAACAGCAATTGCTGTCTCATTTGTCTCTTCTCGCTGTCTGTGGCAGCTTGCTAGGAAGAGCACACGTGGATTCTGCACTTGTTTATCATGTAGATGCAATACTTCCTGTTCAAATATGCATTATGTGAAACCTTTCAATACATGTATTTTGTGGAGACCAGTGTAAATAGCCCAGAGAAGGCAGAAACAACTGCYAGGAGCTCATGTGACCTCTTCCTTTACCTACAGTTTACTGCAATAAGAAATCCATGCCACCCTCTGTGACTAATAAGTACTGCAAAGAATTAAGAATTGCCTTTCATCTTTCCAGTTTTCCCTAGCCTGTTTTGCTGTTGGAGCTCAAACCCAATTCTGCAGTCTCTGTGTTGTGCCTAGAATAATTTCTTCTGAGATTCTTGTGTCTTTTAAACAGTGAAGGAAGCAAATTATTAATCAGCCCTTCATTCACTTCTTTAGTTTTTATTCCCCTGTCCATCAAAAATGCCGGCTATTTCTAGCAGGATCCAGCTTTTCTGGCCTGGCAGGCTTGTGTGTTTGCCACACAACTGCTGCTGACAGGGATGTGGCAGCTGCAGCAGCTGCTCCGCAGAGTCGCGGGGAGAGGGGAGGTGACKCTGTTTATTAGCAGGTGAAATCTTCTCTGGTCGGCACATTCATTTGGGTAAATAATGAGAGCAGGATTTCCCATGCTTGTTCAACAAGTTAACTCCATTTGAACTCTGTCTCCCAGACGTGTGCTCCTGCACGGTTTATAGTGCGCGGGGTTGCTGAAGGGAGGACGCTCTTCTTCCAGGCTTATGGCTGGGGCGGAGGGAGGATCGGAGAGAGCGCGTCTGTCACGCTGGGTACCTGCTTACAAATGCTGCCGACCTGACATTTCCTGCAGGAGCAATTGGGAGGGTTGCTTCATTGCACCCCGTGAGGACAGGCTGGGGTGGATGCGGCGAGTTGAGGCAGTATCCGTGCAGCCGAACAGCTCCACGGACGGGACGCCAGGCACTGCCRCGGCGCTGCCAGCTGGAGCCAGGGCGCAAGGCGGTGGGAGCAGCATCTAGCTGAGCACGAACGGTTCATCTGGGAGCCAGCCATCCCCCTTCGGCACCTCTGTGCACGGAGGCGTAACACGTTCCTGGCYGCCAGCCAGCGATGCTCTGGGCACCAAACTGCAGCAGGAGCAAAACTGCTTCGCTGTGTTGGAGGAATGGTGCTCAGGCGCCGTGGAGCAGATCTGCACTGCGAGGTCAGCACCTGATCCCGTGCTAGCTCATCCTGCCCAAGGGAGCTACCCTTGCAGGCCAGGCCGGTGCTGAGCACCCATCTTCACGGGAGGAGGCCCCAGGGCATGCAGGGTCCCAAGGAGATCCACAGTGCAATGGGTGGCAACCCTGGGAGTCAGGCAGGTGACTGCTGTCTTTGCCTTTGGCACATACATTACTGATGTTTCCATCTGTCATTGAGCCCTGCCTCTGCCATCTGCTGTCACTCAGCACCAGCACATGGGCTTCCCAGTACATTTCCGCACCTCCGCTATCCTTGCTTTTCACGTGTTTGGTCTTTGCAGAGAGTAAAAACTTGTGAAGAACTGGAGGGTTTTGTGATGGGGATGGGGTGCCACCCTGCCTGGCAACCGGTGCTGCACTGGTGGCCTGTCCTGCCCCCGGGGCTGTTGATGTACCCTGGGATCAGGGTGCAGGTGCCAGTGCCCGCACTAGGTTCTCTGCCATCAGCACATTCTTCCCCTCCTCTACTGCATGGCCTGCATCTCCTTGATCAGATGAATCATTCCTGAGCTTTGTTTATCCAGGACGCGAGCAGGAACAAGGGGGCAGTGAGCTCCAAGTGCAGCCCTTGCCGGATGCATGTGGCTGGGCCCTGCTGGAGAGGGCAGCCGGCCTGGCTGCCCTTGGCGCGTCTGCCCAGGCCGGCTGGACCCGCTCCTGTGCGCGGTGTCCGGAGCCGCGGAATGTGCCCATGGGATGTGCAGGACAAGCCTGGGACTTGTGCCCGGCTGAGCCCCGCRGGCGCTGCCAGCCCCACTGTCCGGCCAGGGCGGCCGCCTGCTCATCTGCCGCCCCTGCGGGACCACAGTGCCCATCAGCAGCTGCCGCAGGGCCTCGCGGAGCAGCCAGGAGGTGAAAGCACGGGCCTTGCCCATTAACCAGGGCCTTCGTTGTTCTAGCCACTTCTTCCTCAAATTCAGCTGCGCAAAAGTGCAGCGGTCAGTGGGAAGGGGCAGGCAGTACTGGTGTGGGGAGGCCGGGGTGAGGTGTCCGGCTGCAGCAGCTGTTGTGTGGCRCCTGGCTGCAGGATGAGGGGAATGGCTTTAAGGAAGGTCTTTATTAGGATACACAGTGTAGCATCAAAGAAATGTCAGGGCTGCTCTATTCTGAGTCCCTGCCTAAGGCACTAAACCAGGCTGTCATTCAGCGGGCTGACTACAACCAGCACAACCACTGGCAGAGTCCGGGAAAGATTTATTTTTTCACACTTAATTGCCCTTTTTGCTTTGTAAACATAAAGGTTGAAGCTTAAACTCTGACAGCTCCAGTAGCCTTTTTCTTATCTTCTTAAAAAATGACATTCAGCTTGTTAGAAGATTTTTCTTTTACTCCAGTCCAAAATCTCTCAAAATCTACACAACTTTTTTTTTTTTTTTTTTAAAGATCATTGGAGCATTTCTGTACTCTCTTTGGGAAAAACCCTTCAGATCACAAAAAGACAGAAGCTGGAGCCTGAGGAGCAAAGACCTTTCTCCATAGCAATGCAGGATAAAAATGCTTGACCAGAAGAGGCAGAGAGATCAATCAGCACTCGCCGGTTTCACTGCAAACAGATTAAAGCATGCGTATCTGCTCCTGTTAYTGTTCTAGACGGAAATGCAGAGAGCAAAGACATGAGAAAAAGAAATTGGACGTTAAAAACAAAACCAGAGCTATCTTTGTAGGCTGAAACTTCCCGGGTTCAGCTCCTCTGCCGYGCTGGCTCCTGGACGAAGGTGTCCCCCGGGCTGCGGATGCTTTCCCCGGGCCGCAGTCCTTGTGGCTGCTGAGAGGGGAGCAGCTCTTCTGGCTCCGGCTGCCCCTGCTGCTCTGCCCCGTTTGCTGTGGGTTTGTGCTCCGTGGTGCTGGACTTGCCCTCCATGTTCATCGAGTGCACGGGCTTTACCAGCACAGTCTGTGACAGACGCAGGGCTTAATTTCCATGTTGGCGACATCGCAGTCATCTCAGAATAGTCGGGACCAGTGTGGAGAATTCAGACATTTGCTGGCAGTATGCTGTAGGTGCAATCCAACACTGATTATTTTATGGCATGTCTGTGTTGCTGTGTGCTGAAGATGACAGAACTGAAGCCTTTTTAGGAGCAGTTGAGGCTTTTTATGTACAGAGCAGAAATATAGAAAAACCCTTGAAACACATTTTGAGCAAATCCTTTGATTCTAATTGCAAGTTTGAAATGACAAATGGTAGAGAGAAACTTCAGGAAAATCTGTGTCTATCACAGCTCCTTTATCTCCCCATCGTCATCAATAAGGAAGCAAAAATGATTGGCAAATTCAAATTCCCACTTATTGTGCAGAGCTGAGTGTAGGGGCGACACTGCTCTGTGGTGCTTGGGGAATAGCTGTCACAGCTCTTACAGTGACTACGGCTCTGTTAAACTTTTTACCATCTTTTATCTTCCAATTTGTCCAAAATTAAGCATTGGCATTATTCAAATGGGGCTTTCACCAAGATGTTGAGGGAAGACAGCTATCCAGCAGATGAATTTATCATACTCTTTTCTGAAATAGCCCCATCCACGGGCACTGTACACCTGAGGCCACATGATTTTCCTAGAAATTATACATTTCTTCCTGTCCTTCCAATGCCCATGGTCTGGCTGGTGGGCTGAATGTCTTCCAGAAGCTCCGTCTGTCCCTTTTCTCGTGGCAGATAGCGGTGGCTTGCTGCTGTTCACAAGGGAAGTGGATGGTGTGTTGCTGTTTCTGAAGAGTTACTGTCTGCCTCTGGATGTGCTTGGTTCGAGGATGATCCGGTGTTCCTTGCTTTCATTGCTTCAGCTTGTGCAGTGGTTTCATCCATGCAAAATCTTTTGGTATTTCTTCATAGAGTCATGTGCTGCTGATGGGGGAACCAGGTGTGAATGAGTGTGTGCTCCCTGGAGTTCTTCTGGAGGACATGGAAAACAGGATGAGTTTTTCAGGCTTTCAGGGGGCTGTTTACGGCAGGGCCCTGCGACACCCCATGGACTTGTGTTGCTCACTAGGGCTGGGGACAATCGATGACAGCTTTGCTGTGTGCGGGGGCTGGAGCAGCCCTCGTCCTGGGAATGCGCTGAGCGCTGTGCTGGGATTGCAGCTCCGGGCGTGAGGAGCTCCACTGCGGGGCTGCGGCTGCCCGGGCCATCGTTTACCTTGCGTTAGACGGTGGAAGATGAAGCAGCAACAATTGCTGCTTGAGGTGCAAACATCTTGTTTGTAAAAAAATCAGTCCCCATAACAGGATGTTACCGATTAATTACATTTTGGAACAGCAAATTGTTTCTCGGGCCTGAGCTCATTTTGCCTCTCCCCACCTGGGTCCCGCTGTGCTCCCCTCAGCAGCCTGTTTTTCGAGCCCCTTTCCCTTGGCTTGGCCGGGATGGGAACCTTGCTGATGCTCCTGTCCTTGCAGCAGCGACGTCTGCCATGGGAGCCCTGTCTACAGCCTCCCTGAGCTTGGGTATGGTTTATACCCGAGTCCTTTGCCTATCTCTGGTTGTTCAGAGAGCCRCTTTCCTTGCAAACAACAATCACAGGGTGGATAAGCCAGGTTTTGGGTCCCAGATCATCTCTGTTCTCCTTCCTGTTACTTGGGGCTTGCTGCTCTCTCAGAGGCCGTGTCTGGGGTAGTGTCTATAAACTTGCTGGGGAATCATCCTTGACCAGCATTTTCTGTTTGCTTTGCTCCCTGGTAACCGGTTTCTTGGCCTCATTAACATGTTGCAGCTGCTGCAGCTTGTGGGAAAATCTTGCAGTTTGAAGAGCCRGTTGGGGTCAGAGTCCTCCCGCTGTGTGCGGTGCCTGCAGGCGTCAGGACTCTGCCGTGTCTGTGTGGCTGGGGATGCCAGGGCAGCAGGAAGAGCTCGGAGCGGCACAACTGCCAGGACGGGGTTCCTCCCTGCCRGGCTAGCAAATCTGGGAAATATCCTGACCGCTGCAGGTGGGTCCTTGAGATGAATGATCATCAAACTCAGCAGAAAGGTAGCAGCACCTCTCCAGTATCCAATCCCGTATGAAAACAGTTCCTTCTTAGGAAATAATAAGCTTTAACCTCTTCACTTATTGCATTGCATGTTAAAACTGGCAGCCTGGTCACATTCACCAATTTATTAACCAAGTCTCATTTTTTAACTGGGAACAAATTATTTTTACCTGTAGCTGCTGAATATGAACGAGTGTGAGATCCAGAGCTGCACGGGCACCGCGTGGCCCGTCTGCCGGGTGTGGGGAGCGTCGCTCTGACGACGAGAAGCCGTTGTGGAGCCCAGCCGAATCAGAGCTCGCACGAGGGCGCGACCAGGCACCCTGGGGCCCATCTCTGTGCAGGTCTCTGCCAGCCCGGGCAAACTCACTGCTAGCATTGGCACTGGGCAAATAGGGGAGAGGGAAAGGAGAGATGGGAGCAAGCAGCTTCCTGAGGGCAGGAATCGGCCATGTCCTGCCAACAGCAACAGAGGAAAGCAGCGGCCTTTCAGCCATGCCCTAGGCACGAGGCTTCCCCCAGTTGTGCACCGTCCTGACGAGGACCATCTGTTCTAGCAACAGCATTTCCACCCCTTCCCTGTGAGAAGTTTCACAGTCTGTGGCCACTGATTCCTCCTCCCACTCTCTCAGCCGTGTTTTTCCCTGCCTTCCCCTCAGCCGTATGGAGCCCCTGTGCCCTGGGCACGGTGCCCGCTGCAGGAGCAGGCGCGGGTTCCCCCTCCCACAGGGCTGTCTGCCAGCATGGCCTGGGTACCTGCTGCGTCTGCACAGGATCCCTGGGCGCCTTCCTGCCCCCCGCCCTGGCCGGGCAGCCCTCCCAGCGTGGCGTTTCCAGCTGCTCCCAGGCTGCCCAGCCGCCCCATCCACGGCACGGCCGTTGCCTGCACGCGGTTCCCTGGGACCACGGAGCTCTTGCTGAAACAAACCCCCCCTCGCTCCTCATCTGGCTGCCAAGGCCGAGCGGCGCTGCCAGAGCATCCTGGTGCCTCTCGGCAAAGGCTTTGTCAGAGGCAGATGGTGCTTGGGGTTTGAAAGCTCAGGACAGCGCCAGTCTGCTGGCAGCTTGCTGCTTCCTCACACCTCCCTCCAGGTCTGATGGTTTCTTCCAAACAGGAAAACTAATGAAAAGGATAATTCTTTTAAAACTGATTATCTGAGAGTACAGATTGTCCAGCTTTATGCTGCCGGATAAATCAAACTAACTGTTGAAAGTTAATTTGTCTGACCATAAAGTGCATTCGATAAGTGTAAAACAAAACTAATTGGTTCTCTTCCATACAAATTTAATCATACTATAGAATGTGATCAATGCAAATAAAAAGCATTGAGTAGGTTAAGTGTCAAGAATCTATAAAGAAAATGGTGGTTTATGGCCATTCTTGCAGCAGGCCGTGTCTCCATYTCTGCACTAACCACACCGTGATTCAGAGCCAGGAGGAGCTTCCTGAGCAATGGTGCCTGCGCTGGGTTTCTGCTCCAGGCTGTGCCTTGCAAATAATGTTTTTTTTCAGCCTCTTCAGTTGCTCCTGTTCTTCCCACAGGTGGTAGCAGCTCATACAGGTTGATGCGCAGCTCTTGGGGCCGTGGTACAAGGTGCTGATGGCAGCAGTGCCTGGCCGTGCACAAGGTGCTGGTGGCTGCAGTACGAGGTGCTGGTGGCCATGGTGCCCAACCGTGCACAAGGTGCTGGTGGCCATGGTGCAAGGTACTGGTGGCAGCAGTTCCCAGCTGTGTACAAAGTGCTGGTGGCTGTAGTACAAGGTGCTGGTGCCCTGGCGCTCAGCTGTGCACAAGGTGCTGGGCGCCGGTGGCCCCGCTGCCCAGCGTGGGCAGGATCTGTGTCTCCCGCCAGCCTGCTGAGCGCAGGGCTCCCAGCTCCTTCTACATGGAGCCAAGCTGCAGCTGGGCATGGGAAGGGACACTGTGCCATCTCCTGGGCTTGCCTTGCCCACGTCACACGTCTTGATGCTCTTCCTGACGTGCAGTTGCGGAGGCAGCCACAGGAGGCCGCTGGGACAGGAGTTGCTGCTCGGCAGGGTCCAGGCAGATCAGAGGCCATCACTGAACTGGACCTTTTAGACCCACTGTAAGGGGAATGACTTAGGCTGTAGTTATGGTGATCGCTGGTGTGCGGTTAGAGCTGCTGCTCATGCAGAGATCAGCAAAGGCCCTCAGATGTGCAGGCTGCCAAGAGCCGATGCCCGTGAGCAGCAACTCCTCCTTGCTGGGTGGACATGGAGCTGGGATGAGAACAGCAGCTCCCACSCAGGAAGGCACCTACCGCTCAGCAGAGAGGGCAGAAGGGGAGGGAGGGGAGGAGCAGCAGGAGACACCTTTGAAATTCAGAGATGCAGCTTGCAGCACAGAGCGACTTCTCAGGCTGTCAGGGCTGTGTGGGAGAGACAAGTGCCGAGGCTGGAGGTGGGGAGAGGAGCTGCTGCCTTGCTGCTCCCAGCCAGCTCCACCAGGTTTCCTCGGACCTGGGAACCTGCTCTGGAGGCAGCAGCTGCTGCCAGTCCACACAGAGCCTCCCTCTGCGCCRGGCCCCCAGGACAGGCGTGATGGAACCCCCAGTTTAGGAAATCTGTGCGATCAATGGGGAAGGAGCCGCAGCCCAGCATGTGTCTAGGGGCAGCCCTGGCCCCCAGAGCTCCTGCCCAGCACCTTCCTGGTGCCCTCCCCACGCACGGCCAGGGCACGAGGGATCCGCCCCACCGTGGCACCCGCTGCGGCCCCGCCTCGGGGGCTGCCCTGGCTGTCCAGCAGAAACGCAGCCGAGCACCCCTGCTGTGCCACGGAGCCGCACAAACTTTGCCTTTCTTCTCCCTCCTCCCCAAATCTTTAACTTCTAGCATCTCATAAAACATTATGTTCATATCATAATTCCAATCTGCAGAGAGCCCTTTCTGTGCAAAGGCCAGGGTGCATACAAATTGCTGCTCTAAATCTCCTGCTACAATAAGGAAACTTCAGATGCCAACAGTTTACTTGATAAATACCTTATAAAGCTTAAATAATTATTTAATGCAGACAAATGGAAAAAGAGAGCATCTGTATGCTGCACTGCCGTAAGTTGCAGCTTGTGGCGCGGCAGCCGCGGCGGCGCGGGCTGTGCTGAGGCCGGCACCGCGGGCAGAGGCCTTGCGCGCTCGGTGCCGACAGCAGCGGAGCGCGTCCCCCGGCCGAGGCTGCTGCTGGGGTTTCCGTGCGGGCGGCGCTCGGGCTCTGCCCTCCTCCGTGTCCCTGCTCAATGGCTGTTTACGGGTTTGCTTTGTGGGCTCGGTGTTCCGGACGGCATCCCGATACCCCGTGTGAACACATAGCTTGCAAGAGAGCTCCGCAACCGTCCTCTGAGGGGGAGAGGCTGCAGACAGGCACCCTCACGTAGCTCCCAGTAAGCACAGTGGCAGAGATAGAAGATAAGTGGCAGTAAAAAGTAAAAAGTGAAGTGCCTTTAACA